CCCCAAAACCCCAAAACCCCATTAACTATATAGTGCATCGCAAAATCGAATTAATGAATTTAAAATAAATAAATTTCAATAGCCTTCAATATAATTGACTACTCAAATAATCTCAATTTTAATACTATGATTAGAAGCTTTTTTACTGGTTAATACAAATAGATAGCTCACATAGAGTCTCTTTACGTCCTTTAATTCCTTAGTATTTAAGTATAGCTTAGATAGTTTATTCTGAGTTTTATCGTAGACTTAAGTCTCTAAGATATGCTAGCGAGCATAGTGAGAGGAAATATCTACATTGTATATTTATTAGACATTCCCAGACAATCTATAAAAGCCAGATTGGTTTAGTTCAATAAATTTGAGCAGATCACTTGATTTTTAGAAGTTTGTGATATTGTCTCTAGGCATCAATCCTATCAATAGATATGCATCCTTAGGGTAATCAATCATGCTGATACTTGCTTGAGCTAACTTTATCAATTTTGAATGCTATTAGTCTTTCTAGTATTTGAAGGGATTAGATTTTTATTGCAATAGAAACATCTTATTCTTGGCTTTGATTTCAAATGTACAGTATTTCTTAAAGAATTAAAATATCTCTTGGTCCCCATTCAGACTTGCGACATTCTTACGCATCTTAGGTAGATACCAAATTTCATGCTAGAATTTATTCCTTGGAGGACTTTGACTTAGCCTAAGAGGTGATTTTATATTTGTGTCCTCGGACAGATTGAATTCTGAGGATAGTTGTGAATAGAAATTTATGCCTTCACTTACTTATTCGTCCTCTTGAGTAAATGGCTCAGTTTTAGAATCTATTTGATGCTACAATAGGGTTTTGCTATTCAGCAAGTCAAGAAGGTATTACTGCTAATGACTATGATGATTGTGGACTTTATTTGGTGATTTACTTTTGCTATTATCTCTGATGACTACAGTGACTGAGTTTTAGTTTTCATCAGAGTTCTCATCCTGCCATTCAAGACCAGCGAGATCCTCATTGAGCTGATTAACTCCATTCTTTTTATTCCTAGTGGTTCTGTCCTCCTCACTACTTGAATTCTGCAATTCATATATCTCATTTTCCAGAAATACTACTCTTCTCTAAAGGTAATTTATTTTTTCCATCAAGTTTTAAATAACTGTCTCTTTTTCTTCCAGTTTTTCTGTGAGTTATGTGTTTTAGAAGTTATCATTTTAGACTAACGGGGATAAATCAGTTTAAATCATTGCATTTCTGTGAGTAAAATAGTTAATAAGTTAAGCATTGTTTTGGTGGGGTTTTGACATGTCAAAGTACTCTAATCCATAAAATCTGCAATTAGCTTAGTGCTATTATATATCCTATCTAAGTATGATAGATCTACAATGCTAGTAAGCCAAACAAAACACCTTAGCATATTTGCACACCCTCTCATGTTCTAGTATCTGGCCGTAATAAAGCACCTAGTCGCATCCATTGCTGAAGTTTTGGCATATAAATTTCTATTCTTTCAATTTGTCCATAAAACTCTAATTTGCGAATGTTAGTTCACATTTATTGGTCTCTGAGCAGCGAAACGGGCATCGAGGGTTCTTGAGCAGCCATTGATTGATGCATTTCTTGCAAAAGTGATTCTTGCAAGTGCTGCATCGTAGTGGTTCTCAGAGCAATTGATAACAAATAGAGCACCTAAAATCTATTAATAATTGGTCCTCAGCCATGCTTTAAGAGCAATGCTACTCCATCAATTTAATTATATTAAAATTAAAAAGACTTATATTATAGTCTACATTTAATTTAGTCGTCTGGGGTTTTGGGGTTTTGGGGTTTTGGGG